CAGCGAATCCACTGTCAATCGCGCTCGTGGCCGGCCTGCGATTGATATCAAATGCGATCAGCTAAGTTTCATGGTGGAAAATGGATTCAAGGTACCAGAAATGGCCCAACTCTTTATGGTTTCAACTCGCACAATAGAGAGGAAAATGTCGAAGTATGGTCTTTCCATTTCAGGTAAAGCTTTCGTACAGTTTATTTATATTTATTTTTAATTTTTTTTGTTCTCTTTTAATTCACAAAAAAAATAGAAGGGGTTCAGCTTAAACCTTTTTATTCTTTTAATTTATTCCTTTCCCACTGAACTACAAGAACATTTGTACAAATGTTATTGCTTTCGTTATGATGATTTGTTCTTGAAAGTAGGTGTAAGCTTACATAAGTTATCTTCAAGGGGGATCCAGGGGGGTGAACTGGGTGGCTAGCCATCCCCCTTGGATATAGAAAATAGCAGGATTGAAGGACAAAGACATTATGTAATACCTTTCTGGGTACCAGTCACCCCCCCATGTAATAGTCCAGGATCTGCCACTGATCTTACTGTTATTGTATTCTAACCGTAGTTTACTGAAGTTGGATACCTAAGCAAAGAGCTATTAAAACAAGAGAATTCTATTTTCTTGGCACTAATTTCTGAGATTATCCAAGAAATACTAGTACAGAAGCATAGATACAGGAAATTTGAATGCAATAATAAAATATTAAAATATCTAAGGAATCTTCATTTTGACCATRTTACAAATAAGGAATTTGATCTGCAAATTTTTATCAGATTAAATATCTGCTCTTTGGCTTAATTGAGGTTAGAGTAGAACCATTGTAAAGAAGCATAATGTATGACATAAAGCTTATTATTATTATTATTTTTTATTTCATCTTCTATTACATTAATATTAATAAAATGATTACRCATTTAAGGCAAGGAGGTCTCTTGAAGCCTAAGGCTTATGAGGGGAGAGATCCTCCTTTAGAACTAAATTAAAATAATAATCAATTTTGTTGTATATTTGGCGAAAAGCTTTGTTCTTACTAGTGATATGCAAGTTCAAGGTTGACTGAAAAAGGAGGTAAACTAGCTGTGAAGAGCTCTCTGCTCCGTGTATGTCCTATGGCTTATGCTTTTGCTTGCACCGCTAGTGAGAACCAGGCTGACGACTCTGGTGTACCTATGGGATCTTTGTCCATCACTACTTTTGTTTATAACCAGGTACATGCATATACTAATATGAGTGACCAAGATTTAGATGATATTGTGAGAGAAGCACAAAGTAAGCACATTGGAATTGGATTAAGGATGCTGATGGGTTACATGCGAGGAAAAGGTTTCCGTATACAGTGGGAAAGACTGAGACAATCACTGCTGAGAACTGATCCCAGTGGTGTCCATCAACGTTGGAGAGATTCTATTCGCCRTAGAAAATATTATGTTCCAGGTCCACTAGCACTCTGGCACATTGATGGAAACCACAAACTTATAAGGTATACTTTTGACCTAAAAGGCAGCAAATACAAAAATCTTTTCCAACTTTTATGATTAGTATGGCTGATTTTATGCCGACTTAATCTAGCCTGCATATAGACAGTTATTTTCCTGAAATAACTGTCTGCACACAGCCTGGCTAACTTAATTGGATTGACTTATAAATTTGGTCTGGCTATAAACCGATACCTCAGTTCTGAAAGCTCTAGGTCTTCTTTTTGAGGGTTCTATTCATGATTGACCAGCACACAGTGATATAACAGCCAAAACTAGTACATCTAGATTTAGGATGAAAAATYAAATCAAAATGCTCTCTGCTGGATTCGACWATAGTGGACTCTCATTATGGTAACTAGGTAACTGAACATTCACTTGTTTTCACTTTCAGATGGAGGATTGTTGTGCATGGTGGCATAGATGGCTACTCACGAATTCCAGTATATTTACATGCTTCAGCTGATAATAAAGCTGTAACAGTACTAAATCAATTCACTTCAGCAGTTGAAGAATATGGATTACCGTCACGTGTGCAGTGCGATAAAGGGGGAGAAAACTATGAAGTTGGATGGTACATGCTAAACCAGAGAGGACCAGGGCGTGGAAGTATTATTGCAGGTATTATTACTAGATGTTGGCAGGGAGGGCCCAGAGATGAAATATTAATTTTTCAACTTTTTAATTTTAGGAAAAAGCACTCACAATCAAAGAATAGAGCGCCTTTGGAGGGATGTTTTCCAGGGTTGCCTCTCTTTGTTTTACCAGATATTCCAATTTCTTGAACATCAAGGCTTTCTTGATGTAGATGATGATATTCACATTTGGTGTTTGCACCATGTGTATCTTCCCATGCTAAATGGCCATTTACAAACCTGGAAAAATGCCTGGGTTTATCATCCACTTCGCACTGCTGGAAACAAAACACCAATGCAGCTCTGGATAAGTGGACTTCACAGGAGTCACTTTGGTCATGATGAGAGAAATGCCCATGTACCAAGTA